TCTTTGGATCCATTAGGTCTCATGGTATTAGAAATATAAATCCAACTTGTTATGTGTGTGTTATTGTGTGTAAATGATCAATGGAATACTTTCTTGAATCAGTTTCTGTATATATTCAATCAGTGCTTTCCTTTTAAAAAGTTAGATTCTAGGCAACGTAAAAAAGGCCTTAATAAAAGAGATGATCCAGAGATAATAGAATGTAAGACTCGTTTAGACATCTTGTTTTCAATGAGCAGAGTTAACCATAAATTCTACGATTCCTATAGACAGGTAAAAAAAGCTATAATATAATAGTAATAACAAAACGATCAAAGCTATATGAAAACAGGATGTCTGAAGCTGCCAACAAAAATAAATGCATGTGGCAAATTGTTAGTGAAATTAATGGTCAATTAAAATGTGTAAATTCAATAAAAGTAGAGGGTAGTCCACAAGAGATTGCTGATAAATACATGAACCACTTAAATACTTCTTTAAATAACACTTTATCTCAATTACAATACACTGAATATAAAGACAACATTGCAAGTAAGATAAGTTCAGTGTTTGTCACACCTGTGACAGAAACTGAAATTATGGATATAACTAAAAATTTTAAAAACAAAATTAGTTGTGGAATTGATGAAATACCCACTAAAATCCTTAAACTTTGTATAAAGGAGATAGTGAATCCTCTCACTACAATCATAAATAATTCACTAAAATCTGGTGTATTTCCTGAATGCCTGAAAACTGCCATAGTAACACCTGTTTACAAAAAGGGTGATCCTAAATTAATTAATAACTATAGACCAATTAGCCTTCTATGTTCCTTTTCAAAAATCTTAGAAATGACTATGTATAGGCGGATAACAGAATTTTTAACAAAATGTCATATTATTAGTGCAAATCAGCATGGTTATCAACAGGGAAAATCCACTCAGACTGCAATTTTTCAATTTGTCTGGGATATTTTGAAATGTACTGAGATTGGTCATATGGCTTTGGGTCTCTTTTTGGACCTATCAAAGGCATATGACTGTTTAGTGCATGACATATTATTTGATAAATTGGAGAAATATGGTATGTGGACCAGCATTAAACTGGTTTAAGTCCTACTTGGCAAATAGGAGACATTTAGTAAAAATACATAAAAACACTGAAATAGGCATCTCATCTGAAAGCACTATCAATATTGGAGTACCACAAGGAAGTGTGATTGGTCCTTTACTGTTTGTGATCTATATCAATGATCTTCATGGTCTAGTGGTTAATACTACTTCCAGCATAACAAATTATGCAGATGATACAAAACATTTTAGTCAGTGGTAAAGACATGTCTGGTCTAAGCGTTAATGCTAGTTTAGAGTTCCAGAAAGCTAAAGACTGGTTTTCTATGAATAGGTTGGTTTTAAATCAAAATAAAACAGATATTCTTTTGTTTAAGACAAATTATGCACATTCAGATATGCCAAACAGTATTATTGTAAATAATGACACTTTAAATATTAGCAGCAGTACCAAATTTTTAGGATTATATATATTGACAGTTTTTTATGTTGGGATAAACATGTTGACCGGTTATGTATATCTTTGAGTAAAGTGATTTACAGCTTTAGAGTTCTAAAAAAATACATGAATAGTAACTCATTAAAAACAGTGTATCATGCTAATTTTGAAGCAAAATTTAGATATGGTCTAATAAATTTTGGCCACAGTAGGGACATAAATAATGTATTTCTGGTTCAGAAAAAAATAATCAGAGTTATGTTTGACTTAAAAAGTAGGGAATCAGGTAGAGGGCATTTTAGGAGTAATAATATTTTAACAGTTTACGCTGTATTTATTCAAGAATGCTTACTGTTTCTATATAAAAATAAAATACTCTTTAGGAACTTTGAGCCCAATAGTATAGTAAATACCAGGTTATATAATTATAAAATTCCAATACACAGGTTAAGTATAACAGAAAAAAATGCTCTTTATTGCTGCATCAAATTGTTTAATAAACTGCCTGAACCTATTAAAAGGGAGGAAAGATTAAGTTTGTATAAACATCATATATTTAAATTACTGGTAGCTCTTGAGAGATATTCTGTGGAGGACTATTTTGTATATGTAACGGTTAGGAATAAGTAAATAATATTTTCGTTTGTGACACTGTTTTTTTTTAAATAATTTTATGTTCACGGAATGTATATTATTTTCTAAAAATAAAGATATTGTTATGTTATGTTATATTCTTTTGTTTATTCGTTCAAATCAATAGAGCATCACATTCTCCATCTGCAAATTGTGAAAATGTTGATTTAAGGTCATTATCAAATTTAAAAGCTTTTTAACAAAAACCCATGAATCAGTTAGTAATGCTAAAAATGTTCTAATTCTAAATCAAATAAATAATGTTCCTAATTTAAGTGACATTGAACAAGGAACATTAACATATATAGTTGGCTATGTAGCAAAAAAAATTAAAAGATGTAAAATATGCAGGGCAGATCTAATTGGAAAAAAAGAAGATCTGAGTATAGCAGAATCAGGATTTATCGATGCAAGAGTGTATTGCTCCAATGCATTATTGTACCCGAATTCTCTATATAATCAGTTAGTGATTAAGTTGATACAAATTTTAATGGTGATAATACCTCAGATTTGTACAATTCAAGAGATTAAATTTAATTTAGGTAATGCATCAATTAACAGCTCAATTGGAATTTTGTTATATCTTTAATTGTACAAATCACAATATGTTGCAATTGTTTGTCGAATTTTTATGTTCATTTCATATTTTTACTTGGTGTGCAAATATTAACAAGGTATTAAAAGGGAAGGCACCAAAAAGAATATATACAGATAGTATAAAACAAATGGCTCAAATAAAATATTAGTTTCATAAAAATATAAAAGATAAAATCAATGCAATGAAATATTCTACACATGCAAACAATGTTTAGCTTTAATATTTTAAGTTTCACAAGATTTTTATTTTACATTTTTATCAAATGGTGGTTTATTTCTCATGTTCATTTTCACTTGTCTACAAAGCAATTCTGAAGCCAATATGAATATGGAATCCAACTTTGGGATATTGCATCAAACTGCTACATTCAAATCTTGGAAAGAATCAAGTGAAAGGTTCTTCAAATTATCACAAATGCCCCATGGTATGTTATAAATAATATTAGACACGACCTGGAAATTTCAACAGTAAAATAAGAAATTATTAACTTTGCTAAGAAATACCAAGACAGATTGGTACAACACCCCATCAGAAACCTGATGAGTCAACCAGTTAGACACACTGATGTACCTAGTGATACACCCAGTGATTTACCATCACAGTTTTAATTATGTGTCCCAACTCCCAGAAATAGATAGATGTGATAGACTATATTCTGTTGAATAGAGAGTTACACCACTCTCAAATCTTGGATATAAGAGATCATAAATTGGCATTGTGTAATATCCAAATGGAAACACATATATGTGATAACAAAGTACAAGAATACACCACAAAGATAAAAGTTGAAAGCTTACAGGATGACTCCACAAGATACCTATTCCAAAAAAGAATAACCAAACAAAGCAGAAACATATATCAAGCAAAAGTGATGGATTCGAAGAATCTAAGAAAGTTGTTGGTGAAAGAAATATAATTTTTTTTTTTATAGCATAATTTAATTTACAATCTGCTTCATCGAAGCTATAAGTAAATAGTTTGAATGTTAAATACATGAGGGAGAAGATGCCCTGTGGCAACTCTCCTATTATATTTTTTACATTAGATCATAATATATTTAATTTATTAAATCTGTTGGCCATTGTTTCTTCAGTCGTCTTGCGAATTCGGGAGGAGCGTTTAGCAGTCTTGCTTCATCATTTGGATGACTTCTCAGACCATCAAGGTAGCTCTTTGTGATCCTTTGGATTTCTTCCTCTACCAAAGGTGTAGCTGAGTCCTCGTGTAGGGTTTTATTGCTTACATACCAGGGCGCGTTGAATATTATTCTCAATATTTTTGATTGGACTCTTTGTATTATCTTGATATTTGACGGCTTTGAGCAACCCCAGAGTTGAACGCCATAGGTCCAAATTGGTTTTATCATAGATTTATACAGGAGCAGTTTATTTTCAGTATTGAGTTTTGATTTTCGACCCATAAGCCAGCTCATTTGTCATATTTTGATGTTGATCTGGGTTTTCTTGGCTTGAATGTGTGGCTTCCATGTTAATCTTTTGTCAAGGGTTAGTCCCAAATATTTAACTTGTGTGCTGACTGGTAATTGTGTATTGTTTAATGTGATTGTTGGACATACATCCCTTCGGTTTGTAAATGTAACTTGGGATGACTTCAGAAATATAAATAAAAATAAATTGTTCCTAAGCTAAAGAACATTAGGTACCTTAGGAATGAATTAGAATTACAATAATTATGATTAGGATTTTGTTACCTTGTTTTTTTAGATTTTAGAATCAGAATAAACTAATATTTGCTTTTCTTTCCTTCTCTGTTTTATGTAGTTTTTATTTAGGTAAGTATGTATTTATCTATTTATTATTAAATAAATACAAATTTAAAGAATGAGATACTCTTGTCTTTAATTTTCCTAAATAATATGATAATGACAACGATAATACAAACATGGTGTATTATACTAACCATTAAAGAAATGAAAACTACCTTGTATGTGACAGACAAAAATAGACATTACCTCATAAGTGACTTAATTTTTTTTTAATTTTGCTTCACACTTTTTTTATTTTACTTACAAAATACAATAAATTTAAAAGATTTCAAAAAATAACTACATCTTATCAACTCTTAAACAGTTTTTTGTTCATCCTGTAGAATTCGCTACTTGTTGCTTACAAAATACTGTCTTTAAACCCTCAATATGCATATTTTCAAAAAATGCATATTTTGGGTAAATTATTACAGATTTATGCACATACTTTTCACTTTGGATATTTGCGTACATCTACTAATTAACAACATAAAACATATGTATAAAACTTACTCTCTTGGTCTTTCTGATTTAGTGGTAAATCCCAAACCTCTACTTCTTTCTTTATATCATCTTTAAGATCTTGCTGAACAATATCCAGTGGATAACTAATTTCATGTTTTAGTATATGGTTTTCTATTTCTATTTTAATATCCCCATCCTCAGAAATAGACTGGTTTAATATAGGCTCTGGTGTATAATTGTTTTCAAAATCACATTCTTCTAATTTTAATTCAACTTTTATTTTAACATCTTCATTTAAAGAATCTCCTTCGGCGATATCTGCTAGTAGTTGTTGATTTACAGGATCTTTCAAATTTTCACTACAGTTCATTTCGAATTTAAATAACTGCCTGTATATATCAACGAAAACAATTCACAACGTTCAGTAAATTTGCAAAATTATACATGGAATATATTATAATCACATAGAATAAAACTCCATACTCACAATAGATTACTGTGAATGTGAAGACAGAATACGAAACAAATTGCTAATTTAACAGAATCGTGATTTGGATTATCATTAGAAGAAGCTTCTGTGTTTTTTTCAATATATTTCATTAGACAGGCTAATAATGTTATTTTAATAATTTACAAAACTATTGTAAACAAGCTATATTCATTTTTCATTTAGTAAATATAAATAATTAATCATAGCACACTACTAATTAATTATGTAATAATTTATAAATTAAATTAATAAATTAGTGTAATTTTATCTACAAATATTATTAGTGTAATTTTTTATTTGTATATAATTAATTTGTGTTAGGACTGTTAGGTTAGGAATTTCTTCTTCTTCTCGTCTTTTTTGGCGCTGCGCTGCACCTAGGCTTGCCAGCTCGATATGTGGGAATTCCAGATAATCGAGTATCCTGTACTCCTGTGAATTCCTATAGCTAAAAGACAAACACCGACACAAACTATAGCTGCGGGTGTGACACTGTACACCTGCAGGTCTAATATTTTTTCATTTGGAAAGAAAAGATTTTAAATTTAGAATATCAAACTTTGACATCGACTGGTAGGTACTACACAACCAATCATACGTGCTTAAAGGTAGATTCAAACACATCAGTCCCGTCAGTCTTGGCGCCGAACCGGTCCCGTCTGGTCACAGAAACATTTGTGCGTCTATTCGCACACACCCGAAATGCATCAGTCTTCGGCGACCAATCTGTTTTAAAAGATGGAAAGTTTCTCGAATGAAGAATTAGCAATAATTGCTATATTTTTGAACGAGGAAGAAGAAGCAAAAAGACGGAAATGGATCCATGACGCATGGAAAAAAAGAGATATCGAAATCGAAGGTGAATACTTGACATTTTATAAAGAACTGCTTCATGATGATGTAAAATTCCATCAATATTTTAGAATGTCGCAAAATTGCTTTAACGTATTGTTTTCAAAAATTTCACAAAAATTGAAAAAAAAAGACACACACTGGAGAAAAGCTATTTCACCGAGGCAGCGTCTTGCAGTTTGTTTAAGGTACGTACGAAATAAATAAATTCATGTTTTTCTAATTTTAAAACGTGATTTTTCAAAAATTGTGAATTTCTGAAACGTTTTACTTTTTCTAATCAATATTCTGGATCCGCATTATATGATTGAAGAAAAACGCTTAAACCTTTATTTAATAACTAAAAATATACACAAGTTTTATAAGAACTAAAACATTTCTCAAATAGTATAACCCTTATACATAAAATATACACGTTTATAATATAAACATAGAATACATATTTTATTGAAAGTTGCTAAAGTAGTCCTGCAGATCTTGAATACTAGAAGAGCTTGTAGTGTCATCATCATCCATAGTTTGTATAATAATCCATAGTTTGTCTTGGCGGTGGAGATTGCAATTGGATATAAACAGGTGATTGTATCGGTGAATTGGTTGTTGATGTATTAGCCTATTGGTAACTGGATACAGGCGATACTATTGGAAGTGCTGTTGTACTACTTGATTCTTGCTGATTATTATTATTATAGGTTTGTTCTTGAAGAGACTTTAGCTCATATTTCTGTACAACCGAAAATATTTCTGATTTCGCAAAATGAAAATTTAGAGCCGACAGAGACTTTAGGGCTGGTGTTATGTCGTTTAGGAAGGCGTCAACTGCATCTGGTGGTGCCGTAAGTTGCTCCCCACGTTTGTTAATTAAATACTCCATGAGTTTTGCTGAAGCAGAAGGCTGAGAATAGGTAACTTTTCTTTTACTCCTGCTCTTTTTTGATGTAGTAGTGTGTTTTTGTATTGGTAGTATTTCAGTCCCTTGAATTGAAGCAGACGAATCTTCTCTTTGACTCTTGGTTGCTTCTATTATTTCATTTCGTTCATCATTTGTCCCTTGGCTTGGGGCAGAAACATTGTGTTCCTTCTCATCGCCAGAATTACTTTTTTCATCTTCAGGCACTATTTTTTCAGACTCTTGTTGCGTATTATCAATATCCTTAATGTTAGTTATCGTTTCTCTTTCATTAAAATGTTTTTTTCAAGAAACTTAGTTGATCAGCGTATTTGTACCTCTTTGTTACTTTGCCACTCTGTCCACTTTTTGTGATGTTTCTTTTTAAATACTTTCTAAATGTGTCTCTAATATTTGTCCGCCTAGTCTTACACAGTTGACCTACAAAAATGTAATTCGTTAAAAGACAGATTAACATAAAAATGGTTTGATAATAGAATAAAAGTTTTACATAAAAAACAGTACTACAGTTCTTTTCTTTTTAGGTATTTGGCAACTGGGGACTCTTTCTTGACGATCTCTTTTAGTTTCCGCTTAGGACATAGTACAGTGTAAGAAATTGTACATAATACATGTAAAGTTATATGAAACACTACCAGAACATACTGAAGAGATATTGAGAGCCATTGCTGAAGATTTCCACACAAACTGGAACTTTCCCAACTGTGTGGGAGCCTTAAATGGCAAACACATTACCATCCAAACACAGGATCACTTTATTATAATTACAAGAAATCATTTTCAATTGTTTTGTTGGCTCTTGTAGACGCCAATTATAATTTTTTGGTTGTTGACGTCGAAGAATATGACAAGAACAGCGATGGCGGAATTTTCGCAAATTCTTCATTGGGCAAAAGATTTCGACAAGGAACATTACAACTACCACAAAATACAACTCTACCGAATACACAAGTTGAAGCCTCATATGTAATAGTTAGGAGACGAAGCATTCCCTTTAAAAACATATTTATTGCGACCTTATCCACGTCAGGATTTAAATATAGCAGAACGTGTTTACAACTACCGCCATTGTCGTGCCAGAAGAGTTGTTGAAAATACATTTGGCATTTTATCTCAAAAATTTCGAATTTATAACAGGCGAATTCAAGCAGCACCAAAAAATGCAGATAACATAGTATTGACGACTTGTATTCTACATAATTTTATTAAAAAATATGATGGATACACGTACAGTTCTGACAAAAATGAGCCAAAAGTAGAAAAAAACTCTGAACTGCAAAATTTGCCATTGCAAGGTGGAAATACAACAGGAAATGCTTTTCAAGTAAGAGACACATTTCAAAATTATTTTACTTCGCCAGGGGGATCTTTGCCATGGCAACTTGAAAAAAATTTATAAACTGTATGTTGTTTTCCTTATTATGTACATTGTATATATAATAAAAATAAATATGTATATATTATATATACCTACATTAAAATATTATATATAAATAAATATGTACCTATATATTATGTACATATATAATAAAAAGTGAAATAAAAATAAACAGAAGTTCATTACCTTGTGTTTTCATTTCTTCTCCGATTTCCTGCCAAATATTATTTTTAAAATAAATGTCCATGTATTTAGCTTGCGACAAATCATATAAAACATTATATTTTCTTACATATTCTATTAATTTTATTTTGTTCACTTGTACCGCCCGTCGTGTTACCGGCAAAACCAAAAAAATTCGTCGCTGAGATATAGAATCGGCCGGGCGATAGACGTGTCGAAATCTGACAGCTGGGAAACTGTTTGTCGCCTGATGAATGTAATGCCGGCGCGCTATATCTATTTTTGTATGACGGATTGTTTGGTTAGGCACCAGGACTGTAACGAGACGTGACTGATGTGTCTGAATCGACCTTAAAATGTCTTCAGCGGTAGAAAGGCCTGTAACTTTTTACTGTTGTGTATAGGGGAGGCTTTTCCAATACGCGAAACACATATTAAGAAATAAAAATTCAATATTTTAAAAGTAAACATGTTTATTGTTCATACCAAAACTAATATTCGCAAAATTCCGGGGTTAAACTTATCAAATTAACAAATAAAAAAAGTTTATCTTTTTGTTGTGCTACACAAACACTTGCCCAATACCGTACACATTAACAACACGTTAATCGCATCAGTACCTTAATGAAATACATTTTTTTTTAGTATTTGGTGAATTATGTAAATATTTTTGAATTTTATTTGCCCACAAATGTTCATGTTGCGCAATTTTCACATTTATAACATAGTAGCGTGCGTCAATCTCTTACATGTAGTGACTTGCACTCAATCTTCATTTGTACTCGGTAGTTTTTTCTTCTTTAATGTTCAGTTCTAAACTTCCATGTTGTTTAAACTGGTATTGTTGTTTGTTGACGTAAAAAGCTGTCTGTTTACATCAAGACTTTTGTTTTTTCTTTGTTCAAGCTGTTTGGTTTGTTTTTACTGGTTTTATTTACATTTTCTTTTCTTTTTTCTCTGCTGTTTTTTTGATCTCTTGTGATTACTTGAACCCAGTGGCGGCTTTTCTTTATGTGCTGCTGAGCTGCAGAACTACCAAACAACCATAGCAAATCTTAATTATTAAAGAATAATTAATATAGTTTTATTTCAAATCTGCCATATTATCATATTAAACATAAACTGTTAATAATAATTCACCAACAACGATGATTAATATTATTTTTTTTACGTATTTACTCCTCTAGTGAAACCGTATAATTTTTTTACGTATTTGGTGCTCCAGTGAAGCAATCTTTTTACGTATTTGCTGCTCCAGTGAAGCCGCGTCGATAACAACCGAAACACTGGCAGCGGTAAAATGCATTTATTAGGCAAACGGCGATCTTAGCCGATGTGCTTCGGCAATCGGCTGATTAACGGCCTCGGAAATGTGTTTGCGAGCTGCAATTCACGACAGTTATTCGTGACCGTTGCATCTGTGCCGTGTTTAGAAATTCTTAGGTTACAATTTTGTTTAATTTGTTTTGTTCGAGCGTGTTTAAAACAATGGAGTTTCAATTTAAATTAGGTGTAAATAAATTTCAAAAACTTCACTATCAACAACAGTTGATTATAAAAGAACGTGGCCGTCCTATGCCTGATCTTAATATTGAAGTGTCCGGTAAAAGCCGTGGAAAAACATATACGCGTAAATTTAATAAAGACATGTATCTACGAAATCAGTGGATTTGTGGATGTTCCGAAAAAAATGCTTTTTTCTGTTTTCCGTGTGCATTATTCGGCGCAGATAAAGAGGAAAAATTGTGGCGCGAGACAGGAGTGCGGGATCTAGTGCATTTAAGTGAAAAAATAAAGAAGCATGAAAACACGCAAACTCATATGAACAATGAAATGCGATTTGCATTATTTGGGAAACTTAATATACAGGCCCAACTTGACTCTGCTTATTGGATAAATATACAAAAACACAATGAAGAGGTGACGAAAAACAGGTATGTTTTGTCAAAAATAATTGACTGTATAAAATTCTGTGGGGCTTT